ATGCTATGAAGTGGAAAGGACTGAGGAGCACTGCTATAGAGCAATGGTTCCGTTTCAAGTCGCATCCCAATCAGTCAGCTGAGAACAGACTCATTAATATTTGTATACTCACTGTCTGTAAACAGTGCCTGCCACACTGTGGGCAAATGAAAAATGTTTTGTCTAAATCATTTTTCTCCCACAGGCTGTGTCTTTGATATTCAAGTTATATACAAACACTATCCTCTGGTCGGTCTTTTGCACATGGTAGGTTGGACACACATACAGAATACCTTATAAACTTTCTGATTCATCCCATTCCTTTTACACTGAGAAAACTCAGGCTGTAGGAGGAAGAGAGGCTGGCATAGGGCGTGTGGCACATGAGGCACAGCTAAAAGATCTGGACACAGAACCCTGGCTAGGCCCTTCGGCCATTTCTCTACGAAATGAGGAATTTATAAAGTATATTCAGAGTCTCATATTCATAGAAGTTAAAAAAATCAGAAAGCAAATGTCATGCTGTGACTAAAAACAAAGACTTTCCTGTGAGGCATCTTTATGTTTGAGTCCGCCCACGGGTATTTTTCACTATTTGGGTCACTATTTCACTAACCTTTACTGCTTTCTCTGTAACTGACTCGCAAGGTTCCTTCAGGAATTCATTAGATATTTTCATTACAAGAGGCAATTACAGTAAGGTCCTGTAATAGCCCCTTGACATTGTGATACAGTAAATACTGTCACCCTTCTTCTGGTTTAATTTATATTTCCTGTAACATTGGAACCTCACCGACAGCATCTTATTCCAAAGACTCCAACTTGGAGGAACGGCAGAAGTTCCTAAAAGTCCAGCTATCTCACTACCAAACGCCAAACACCAAAATAAAATGATCAATTACGTGACACTTTAAAATGGTTTTCAAAAGTTGCCTTTGAGTAGCATTAACGTTAGTTTTGATTTCCATCAGGCAGTGAATTTTTAAAAAAACCTCTCATTCCTCTTCTCAATAACAGCATTCACCATAGAGATGAGCCGAGGACCAGAGGGAACATCACAGCAAGCTGCTCTACGAACATTGATTAGAAGGCAGCAGTGACTGAGCTCAGGGCCTAGTTTTAAGTCCACCCCATCCCTTACTGAATGTGTCACTGTGGACGAGTTAGCTTCCTTCTGTAGGCTTTAGTTTCCCCACCTGTAAAATGAGAATAATAATCTCAAAGAGCTGGGAAAATTAAATGTATTAAAATGGGAAGAACTTAAGAGAGTGCCTGGCCCACTGTAATTTGCTCTATAAATCTTGTTATTATTATTATTATTACTTCTATTAATTATAACTCTGCTTCACTTATAAGAATGACATATTTAATGAATGATTTCTCATTGTTTTTGACTTGCTTGGAATTCTCACAATAACTTATATTTGACATAATGATGAACCTAAGAAAAAAAAAGGACTTTATTCTCAATGGTCATTAAGGTTTGAAAAAATAACGCATGTGCTAAGTTGTTTTTCTGTGTTTACCAAGCTAAAAATAGAATTTTACAATATTATTAAGTTTAAGACAACAAACCTTCACTTTCTGGTATTGCTGGTTCAGGTTCTCCTCAGTGGTTCCAACTGGCCCATCAACATCCATTTCCAACAGGTTACCATTAACTTCATCCTCTTCTCCAATCGCCGACTTGCCATCACCTTCTTGAAAATGAGTCCCATTCTGTTCAATCACCTGTGTCTGTTTCAGTCCCACCCTTTCTGAGTCTTTGTCAACATTTGACAACCAGTCCAAAAGGTTCTCTATTTTGTTTTTGCTCTCTTCCAGCTGCTTCTCAGCTGCAACCTGGGGTGGGAGTCACAATGGGTATTCTGAATATGGGCCAAGGTATTAGTTTTAAGACATCTTAAAGGCAAATATTTAGATCATTCAAAAACTAGAATGGGGATACTAAAAACTGACACACACTGAAAACTGAACACATTGAAATGAAACCTTAGAGAAACTGGAAATTGCTTTGAAGTTTCCACTGGTCTTAAAAATACATTCCTAAATTTTAACTATAGTAATTAATGAGTCCCCACACATTTCACAAGTCTCATAATCCCACTTAAATTTCTTTTAAACAATTAAGCAAAGCCAATTCTTCAAACTTACCATAGTGTTTGGTCAATTACAATCCTGGAAACCCAGAATTCTAGTCCAGGTACTCATTGATAATTGCTTACCACTACCCGATATCACTTAATAAATCAAGAAACTATTACACTAATCATTTTCAACAAGCAAAAGTGTACCCCATATTTAAATAAGGACCTTTTCAGTTTCTTCCTTGATGGCTGTTGTCATGACTTTATCCAGCTCCTTTTTTGACTGTTCTGCCTTTAAATTAAGCTGTTCACACTTTATCTTAGCTTCGTTAAGTTTCTGTTCAATCAAAGCCTTATCTTCTTGTGACAGCTTTTCGCCATTCTCTTTTAAGAAGTTCTCTGTGGTTTTCATTATTTCTGTCAAAGCCTGTGCACTTCCTTGCATATCTTTCTGTAATTCCTTATAACACAAAAGGAAAATAAATCTTATTAAATTATTACTGATTTAATTTTTCCACAGTTGTAATTCCAAAAGAGGGGGTGAGCAGAAAAGGAGAATCTAGCAAGTGTAGACTGAAAAAGCATATTCAATATGTTAATTTGAGTTGGTTTATGTGTCACAATACTTAATATAATTTGAAATCTGAAACAGCATTAAAGAAAGGTATGAGATTATCATGTTTAACAAAGAGATGTGGGTTGTAAAACATTGAAAACAATAAAGTACTCAGTATATAATGTATATAAATTGGCACATATCAGATATTTTTACATTTTGGGAGCTCATTTATAAAAGCCTTTAAATACCTGACCATGTTATTTAATCCATTTCTAAACATTTATGTTTTAATGTGTATCTACCACTCAGAATAAAAACAGATAGTTCTCCAAGTTATGAGCTATGTTGTTCCTAAGGTAATTTCTATACTAAGATAATCTCTTCTAAACATTAGAGCTCTACAATATGTAATGTTTGCTTCTTTGCCTCAGCTGTTAGGAAGTTCAAGATTAAGAACTCTCCAATGGAATTGCAACAGCTACATACGATGTCAGAGGGGTAGGAGAATGGGGGAGAGGGGTTATCACTTTGTGAGGGGTGTAAATGTCTAACTATTACATTGTTTTGTATACCTGAAACTAAAAAAAAAGAACCACCCTCAGCACTTATAACTTTCCTCCATTTAGATTTCTCTGTGTAATTTTTCCTCCTCTTCCTCCTTTACTTTGTATTTTCATTCTCTGTATTGCACTGTGACTGAACTTTCATATTATGTATCCATCCTTTTATTTTAAGCTTCCTCAAATTTTTCTGAGAAGTATTTAAATCGAAAGAGATACTGCTTGTTGAATTGCTACTGACATTAACTGTGCTCGTCACTTAACACACAATATTTACTTAACTCATACAATAACATAGCAATGGAATTATGACCAATGAAGAAACTGAGGTTCAAAATGATTAAATTATAAAGCTAACAATGTGTAGAGTCTGGAATTTGGACCAAGAGATAACTATTGGGTCGTTGGGAAAGTCATGACGTATTTTTCTGTTTTTCAATGCAAAAATGTGTCATGACTTCTGCGACAACCCAATAGTTACGATGAGAATATTCTTTCTTCTGACACTAAAATAAAGATATCTTTATCTGTCATTACTGTTTGTTCCTTCAATGAAAAGGGACAAATTGCAGAGAAAGATGAAAGGAATAAACAAGAGAAAGAACCCAAACTGATGGCTATTTCACATGATTTGCGAGTGAGTGCACTGGTCTTAAAAGGATCCAAGTTTTAACTCATCACATAAGATACTTCCACGATCATACCTTCTTTATATCTCCACCACTCAATATATCACCAAACACTAGTCAAGAAAATTACTTGGCTAGCTTGAGGTTGGATATAGAACTCTTTGTATAAAGCTTATAGCTCTGGAAGCTCAGCGGCATCTAGGTATGCCTTGCCTCAGAAAAGTTAAAAATGATTGCTTTTTCAATAATCCTAACTGTTTTCCAAATAACAGTAACCAAACTTAACATCAACATGGAGCTGCCAAGGCAAAACCAAATTCTACCTCTTGCTTGGACTGGTACTTCTTTAATTCAACTGTGCCATCTCCAATCACGAAGGCTTCCTGGTGACCAATCAGGCGATTTTCAGTTTGTGTAAGGAGATCACATATCCCTTGAAGTTTCTGTTTGTATTCCTGCTGACGCTCTGCCACCATCTAAAAAGGAGCAAAACCAAAGCATCTTAAATGGTGGTCATAAACTCACTATTGTGATAGCTCCTTATTAGAACACATTTTGCAAGTTTCCTCTAAATAAGCTTTTCTAAGTATGCTGTAAACATGATAGCAGTGGGGTACAAACTGAGCCAGGTGACACAGAAAGTAAGAGCATGTCCCATATACAAGGAAAGAGATCATGTTTGGATGAAACTGCTCAACAGAATACTGGCCATGCACATGTGTGAGAGATGGAACTTCTGACCGACAGGAAGAGACATTCCATTTTCTTAAGCTCTTGAAACCTGCGACACACACAATTAATTCTGTAAAAGGATATCAAAACAGAAGTTAGTCATGATTGTCTGTTAATATATTTGATATGTGCATACAGGTTATCATGCTAGAGACAATGCCTGGGTGCTTCAAGAAATAATACAAAGGACACTGCATGCAACATTTTTACTTAATCACTATGTCTAATTCCATCCCCACCTCTTTGTTCATTATCGATTGCTATTGGATTCAGCACTCTGATATAATTCATTAAATATTTCTAAGAGATTTATTTCATGTCAATTACTTGCATCTTTTATTTTCCTACTAGACAGAGGGTGTCAAAAAATGTATACACATTTTCAGAAAGGAAAAAATTGTATTAAAATGGTAATACTCAGTATATACCGATAATGAAAGATGAATACAAGTCACGTTTGACTTCTGCAATTACAACAGGTGCTCAAAGTGGTTACCATCAGCTTCTAGACACTTCTGATTATGGCGAACTACTGCTTGAGCATAGATATCATCTCTTAAAATGTATATACGTTTTCTCGGCACCCCTGGTATATATATATATACACATACTAGTTATTCATCTCATAGCCATAGAGCATATTTACGAGGAGCTTAACATATACTGGGCAAGGTACTGTTTTCTATTCATTTGTTTTTTAATCAATGCTTACAATACTACCAGGAAAACACTGTTACTATTATCAATTTACCAATGAGGAAACTGGCTAAGTGACTTGCCCTAGGTCACACAGTAGTGAACGGAGCAGCTGGGATGTAAACTCAGGCAGTCTGGCTCCAGCGCTCAGGCTCTGAACTGCTGGGCCATACTGCCTCCTAGAGGAGAAAGATACCCTCAAACTTCTTTATCCGTATGTTCATCCATCTACCCCTTGACATTTCTGAATGCACCCATATAACCTACTCCTAGGGAAGGAGTGAACTCTCTCACCTGAAAACAGTAGTTTTAGGGAGTGATGAAAATTAAAATCAATGAATTTTTACAGAAAATAATATTATGATATATTGTAGAATCTCTACATTATATATACCCCATCCATGAACTGCCTTTCCAGAAAATCTTTCCTATTGTGCCATAATCCCTGGGTGTCTACATGATATGTTTCACACTGAAGAACTAAAAACAAAGAATTCTAACTCCACAAAGAAAGGCAAACCTTCTGATCACCAAGGTCTTGTTCTAGCTGTAACTGAGTCTCTAAATGTTCCACCTGGGTGGTTACTGATTCCTGTACATCAAGAAAACACTTCTGAGTTGTATTTAAGAGCCTCAGCAGTTGTTTGCTCTGGTTGGGAGACAGATCTTGTGCATATTCAGAAATGAAGAACTGCACATCGAAGGCCGTGGTCTCCAGCTGCATTTTGGTATGTCCGAGGTCTTTTAACACATTCTGTGAAGAAAGCAGTACAAGTGACCGACAGGGGATTAAGCCATAATATAAAGTTTACACTAACAATAATATTCAGCTTTTAAAATATGTTTCATATGTCAAGGACTCAAGGTTTTATTGATATTCTTCCATTTTTCAATTAGTCAAAAATCTACTCATCATCTAGTATAAATGATAATGATGAAATTATTTAAATACTGTGGTAATTAATACTATATAAAAAGGTAACTGCTCCAAGAATATTTTAACCTTGCCTGCTACATCACACTAAAATGCAACTCTGACAAAAAGTGAAGATCCAACTGATGTCCATTTAGCACAACGAAGAGAAACATCAACATTAAAATATTGCTTGCTAATATTTATAGTATCCATGTAATTGTGGTAGCAGATAAACAAGACCATGCGGAATTTGCAATGTGATTTAAATGGGCCAGAACTTCAGTTTTTTGACTCACAAACCAGGAGGCAGGAGCCTAACCATCATTCATTAGGCATGCTGTTCAAATTAAAAACTTGGGGGAAAAAAAAAAAGCATGACAAAAATGACTAATGTACCAGTATAAATACTACTCATTCTATGATGTATTTATACTATTATGGATTTGACTAATATATAAATAAATACATAAATACAAATATCAACATGTCAGTGGTAGTAAAAGTTCGATAAGGCAGTTGAGATAGCATCAAAATGACATCCATTAGGTTATGATTATGTTATAGTGGTGTCAATTATGAACAAACATCTTTTAGAGACCAAGAATGGAAATAATAGCTTATAGCTTTAGCAAAGTCATATTTTTTTCTAACCATGTGTTATATTAAATCCACAAGTTTTTAAATTTGCTTTGTCTTACTTATTTTGATACTTGCCTTGAGAAACTCCAAACTTTTCTTTATATATTCGGTATCTTGAACATTCGCAGTCTCCATATCCTTCACAGATTTGCTCTTCTCTGATATCCAATGCGAGAACGACTTAAGTTTATACAGAAATTCTTCATGGGAAACTGCTAGTTTTGACTAGAAAACAAAATTGTGTATCCATTTCTGTCAGTCCCCAAATTTCAAATTCCTACAAATGAAGATTCTGTTTGAAGAGCTTAACCCTCTGAAAATAAAACACTTCATCTTATGGCTAAATTTTTAAATAATCAGCTTTTCTTCAAAACTCAAATTTGACTCAGTGTGAAACATTTTGATGCCTACCATTTCACAGTCAATTGCGAGCATGATGTGTTTCATTCTTTCTGAAGACACGTTGCCGAGTGAAGAGAAGGCATTCTGTAAACTTTGGTGGCTTCTACTCAAGTCCTCAAGATGTCCTTTGGGGAAGTCACTGGGAAGGGACTTTAAAAACTCTTCTGCCAACTTCATGTCTTTTCTTAAAATAACAGCAATTGGAGCCAATCCCAATTCAAATGTCTGCAAAAAATATACATCCCACAACTATTTAGTGAGAAACACAAATAATCAACTAACATTCAAAACATAAAAGCGCTCTGCTTACTTTTCCAAATTAACATCAGCTGACGACCATCCCTAACAGGAACAGACAATTCTTACCTCTAACTGTTTAAGCTGATACTTCAAAGCTTCCAGATTGTTATCCAGAGGCTCTGGGTTGTCTATAGGGGGTTTCATATCTTGAAGCAAAGCCAAATATTCCTGCATTTTTGACGTGTGCTGTAGACACTGCTGTAACTCACTGGAAAACTAAACACAAATTGGGATATTTTAATTCAATAGTCTTCATGCAGGTTTTTACAGCAAATCAAATGTATGGGATTACTCCCAAGTATATCAAGCAGCTACTCCAATATAAAACATAAAGTCAACTTACTTGTTCCATTGAGTTATCGCCAGAAGTCATTTCTTTTGACCTTGAAATGCATCCCAAATAGTTTGGGAAATCATTGCATTGCTCCTCCAGCTTCTCACCTTTTGGCAAGGCTGATGCACAGACAGTAGAGGTTTCTTGTCCAATTTCTTTGATATTTTGTAAATTAAGGGGACCATGGTTTCCTTCTTTGCTTTTAAGATCATCAAGAATGTGTGGCTTTTCATCTACCATCTCAGAAGTAGGAGATGCTCTTTGATTTAAGTCTCCCGCCAGTTCTGCTTTCTCTGAATATCCATCAGCAAGCAGCTTGTAGAAAATATTTTCAAGTTGCAGTGGAAGTACTTTCGATTTAATACCTCTTTCCTCTAGATCATACTCCATCTGAGTTAATTCTTTCATCAATTCAAATGCTCCTATAACTTTTGGGCTATACTGATTCTGCTTAAGTATATCAAGGAGAAGCTCAGGCTTAAGATTTGCAATGCACAATGGATCGTCTCTAAACTCTGCTCTTAGTTCTGGTGAGTTCTTCAGGTGGGAGACTCCCATAGTGTCACTGATCTTTGAGTCGCTGGGCACATTGGATGCCTCATTCACCAACTGTGATGTGCTAACCCTTTTAATTAAACTTTGAATTAAAATTTTAGTGTCTGCACAGGCTGAAGGTTCTCCAACCTCTTGAGGATTTGTATGACCTTCCTTCAATCTACTGTTTAAGATGCCCTTTACATCCTCAACAAGTACCTGAGATAATTCAGGAATCTGAACCTCCTTTTCTTGGAATCCTGGAGACAAGGCTTGTTCTTTTCGTGGTTGTTGCTCAATTATTTCTTTGTTTTTGTTCATTTCTAAGAAGGAGTAGCCAGTGCTTGAAGTGTGACTGGAGTTATCACTTCTTATTCCATTTGCACAGAGTCCCAGCTGCCCAATATCAGTATTTTCCCCAAGGCCTTCCACATTTCTAAGAGGTAAGATTGAAAGTGTGCTTTCGTTTCTTTCTGGTGTGAACTGAGGAAATTCCAATCCTCCTTCTGAGACACCTTTAGTATAAAGATCATGCTGTTGAACCATCTCATTTACAGGTGAGCCTTCTTGGGTTAGGGTTGCCTTTTCTTTTGCATTATCAACTCCTAATTCTAAGTGTTCTTTCATGGGAGGGGAAGCTACTAGGATAGACCTTGGAATATCTTCACTTGGTTTCAGGACATCTTTTGCTGTTACATTTTTTGCACAATCTTTTAAACAAGTAAACAGATCAAGCTTTTTCTCAGGTCCATCGGTGAAGGGCTCTTTCTCAGTACTTGTATTCCCTTCAGACAATGTAACATCTGAAGTAATGTCATGGATCACTTTGGAAACTGATGAGTCAAATATTTCTTCAAGATTCTCAAATTGAACAGGACTTTTAATAACCACTGTTTGTAGATTCTTTGGTTCATCTTTAAAAGTTACGGTTGCTTTTTTAAGGCTTCCATTCTGAGTATGTTCTTCATTGTTTGTGATTTGTGGAAACTGACTATTGACTAAATCAAGACTCTCCCTTGTACTTTTACCAGGCAAAAGTTTGAGATATTTGTTATCTTCTATTAGACCTTCTATAAGCCCTTCTCCTTCACCTGACCGCATTTTATGAATTGATGTTTCATCTTCTATTAGTATATTGCTTTTGTCATCTCTCTTTTTAATTAGATCTCTTCCATTTCCTTGATGATCTTTATCAGTTACAGGGACCACGGATGACAAATGGCTTTCCTCAGCAGGTCTTCCTATTAAATCAGGCTCAGAACAAACGATTTCATCAAGAGATAAGTCAACTTGATGCATCACATTCTCAAAATATTTATCACCTTTCCCAAAGTCAGCAGATTCTGGCCCTTGAATAAATTTAACTTCTGTGTTCATTAGCTCACTATCTAATTCAGAAGTTGAAGTGGTATCAGTATTATGTAAAATACCTACAGGGCTAAAGTTGTGTTCTGATTCAGTGTCTTTACTGATAGGCAGCAACATATCTTTAAGGGCCATCTCATGATTTAACAGATTTTCTTTGCTTTTTCTAACAACCTCAGTTGTATATTCTGGAAAACTGTTTCTTTCAGTAACTGAACTACTTTTACTACTTGATTCTAGCTGTAAAGTATTTACATTTTGCTGTTTTTCTAAAGGACTAGAAGTGTGCTTTTTATCCAGCAGAACTGTTTTATTAATACTTTGATTTTCATAGCCAGCTTCCGGTTCATTCATTGTGGTAGCACCCAGCAGGACATCCATACTATCAGCCTCATCTTGGCACACGGGCTTTTCATTCTCATGTCCTACTCCTTCCTCCTCCTCATCATCATATCCATCATCATCACCCTGATCATTACTGTCATATATAAAATCCCCATAACTTTCTTCATTTTGTAGAGAATCATTTATATCAGTATCAGAGCTAAATTCTTGTCCAGTTACATACTCTTCTCTTCCTCTCCAACAGCCAGTGTCATCAAATATTAAGGATGCACCGAAGCTCTCTTTTCTTCCTACAATTTCATCATCAGTCAATGAGTCAGACTCATCATCCTCAAGGTTACTTGCACTTTCCCTTTCTGACACAGTTTCCAGCAACTGTTCATTGTACTTGTATGAGCCAACTGAATTTAAATGTATTCTTTCACCAGGACCTAATTCCGCTTTCTCCATAGCTATGAGAACATCCTGAGGAGTCCGTGCTTTTCCGCTGATACTTAAGTTATCAAGTAATACCCCCTGAGTCACGGTAGAATTTTCATTCCCTTTTGAAGCATCATAGAAAACATCACCAGGAGAAGCAGCCCCATCATTTTCCTCTTGCAGTGCATCATAGTCCTCAGGTTGCAGACAATCACAATCATCACCTTCAAGAAGCAGAGAATCATGGTCATCATCTTCAAACAAGGGGGTATCATAAAAATCATCCTCGCTATCAGTGTCTGTTTCTGTGTCTCTCTGCTGATCATCCAGTAGTGACGTTTCATAGTCACCAGCACTAACAGTTTCTTCAAGCAATGGTGCGCCACAAACATGAGATGCGTTGGCATTATCGATATCACCCTTTGCAGCTGTGGCATGTGAGCGCTCTTCAGACTCATTTTGCTTGTCTTCAGGTGCCTGCTGAGAAGCAGCATTCATTTTTTCATCTTCGCCATAAGTATCTGAAATATATTTGTTGCTGTGATATTGTCCCTGAGGATCATTATAACCAATATTTAAAGATTTCTGTCCAGAGTGCTCTACCTGCAAACTGATGTTAATAGCTGCTATTCCCAGAAATTGGTTTTGCAATTTTTCTCCCATTTTTTTACCCAATGGCACGGTTTGGTCATTGAATGGCAAAGCAGAGGCTTCACATGTATTTTCATTGCCCTTCATAGTGGGTACATCATCAAAACTTCCCTGGTCATTCTTCAATTTATCATGACTTAACAAGGCACTCAGCCTGGGAGAATAGTCAAAGATGGTTGAATCTCTATTTATATTATCTTCAATCTCTGTTTCATTAAAATCACAGATTCTACTAGTTTTTGATTTCACAATAGAATCTGTTATCAAATCACTTGGAAAGTTTTGAGTATTTTTAGAATGACTACATGCATCTGCATGTTCATTTGTTTCAACTTGACTTTGATTTTCACAGTTTTTAGGTAAGTTTTCAGAGTCTTGGCTAAGCATGCCAACTTCTCCAAGTCCAGGCTGTGTTAAACATGATATAGAATTGGGAACATTCACACCGGATGAAATCTTAACTTTATGCTCTGTTGCTATTATATTTGCCAGCTTTCCTGACTGATAAAATTCACGCCTAAAATCATTACTTCCCATTTCATTCAACTCTTCGTCTAAGGCATGCTTTCTGTTTCCAGGGATTTCTTTATGTTTAGGTCCTCTGCAATGACATGTATCAAAAACAGTTGGTGAAGTTATACTTTCATCCTTTTCTTTACTTGGGGTATCATTCAGCAATTCACCAGGGATTCTTAAGACACCAATACAGTCTTTTATGGGTGTGTCCTCATCAAATTCTGCACTACAGCCTTCCAGTAGCATACCAACAGCCTCGTTCAAGTCTCCATCATACAGCAAAAGTCTTTGCCCTGTGTTTGCATCCATGTAGCTATTTATCATCAAATAAGACAGGAACAATTTTTTAGTTTGTTCTGAGCTCTGAGTTGCCACTGGCTCTTCTCCATCAAAATCATCCTCTTCTTGCCTGTAATCATGGACTGTAGATGGTTGGAATTTACAAAAAGAGAGCCATCTTCTGGCATTTTTGCAAGCTTCTAAATCTCCCAAATCTGGCATTTTATCAGGAAGTATTATACTTTTTAAAATCGATGCTGTATTATTATCTATAATTCCTAGCTGCTGAGCAACATCCAAACCAATGACTTGAGAAGTTTCTGGAATATACAGAGCAGCTATTTTCTGCCTACCATTCAGGATTTTGTATGCCAATTCATTTGTAATCAGTTTTTGCTGCAAGGAAGAAGATGTGGGAAATATTTCACCCGAGTGAGGCCAAATGAGTCCCACGTAGCCTCGCTGAGCCTCCAGTACCAAAAGAGCACTGCTCGAAGTTATCAAATCGCACTGGACTGCTTCATCTACAGTTAAACGTTTAGCAGGGTTTGAGTGGATGATTCCACCTGTTTGAACCTGGTAGGTTAGAATACCGTTAGCAGTGTCTCTATCAATCACCCCTTCTGCCATAGCTTCTTCAACAGTCATTCTTTGACCAGAGTTGCAACTGATCAGACCTCCAGAAAGAAGCTGAGTGCCTAATAACCGAAACATGGTTTCCCGGTCTATGAGACCTTCATGAGCTGCCCTTAAAATGCTAATGTTTCTTCCACATTTTAATGTTATTCTGCCTGCTTCTTGGGGTCTCACAGGTAGAAGCCGCATCCCAGTGTTTTCCTGTAAAATACTTCTTTGTATAATATCTGTTAAAGACACCTTCTCAGAGGTACATGGATCGATAAGATCTTTGCACGTGTTTTGCCTTTCCAGGACTTTAGAAAACAATGCTGAGGGAACCAAGTTCTCTTGGAAAGCCTTCTGGAGGGTCAACTGTTCTCCTGTGGCTGGAATAACTAGAAAGCCTGTAGAAAGCAGTATCTCAAGGACTCTGATGGCCATGGATTCTGATATCGTGCCTTGAGCCAGAGCATCCAGCACTGGGATGGTGGTAGATGATACAGCAGAAATAATCTCCTTTGCTTGATTTAGCTCTTCGAGTTGGCACAGGACTTGCCCATCAATGAGGCCATGACTTTCAGCACTTTTGAGGTCAAAGCATTTTCTTAATTCTGGTGAAATCAGACCAGAAATCATTAGCTGTGTCTCAAGCAACCTGATTCCTGTGTCATAGTCAACGAAGCCTCTTAAAACTGCCTGAAAGACTGAAAGGACTTCTCCAGTTGTCTGGTCAATGGTGCCTGCAATCACTTTATCCAGCTAGAAAGGAAATACAAAATTCTCATGTCATTCTGTGGTTCAGGGTAGGCAGAGTTTCATGAAACGTAGTTTGCATTTTTTAAATGAAGAATACACTTCAACATGAAAATCCTCTACTTACCAAGGCGCAGCAATGCTGTGAATGTTAGGCAGCTCAAATGCACAAGTGATCTATGTCAGTGATCTATTCAACAGCACAGGATGTGATAAAAGCTTTGAAAACAACATGCATCTGTGAATTGAAAACTTAATATTATGTACATTAACAAGGTTAGTGAGACACCACAGAGTCAATGATGATAGTGAGAAAACAGAACACATACCTAGAAGGCCATCATGCTTTCTGCAACTGGGTGAGATTAGTCTAACATGAAAAAGAGTATCAAACCCCATGCTATTGATGTTTACAGCATACAGACTTTTTCAGACAGTCAAAAACTAATGAACCAGAAAAACTGTTACATACTCCCCAAATACCACAAATAATGTGTAAAGAATTCCAGGAGTAAGGGAAATGAATATAGAGATAACTTTTTGAATATTGATACTGTGTTGAATATTGTAAATATGTATTGTCAAGTTATAAAAGTTTAAGAACAGGCCAAATTTTAAGTGATTTTCTATTATATTTTAACAAGATGCTACGGCATCCTTACTATAATATGTGGCCCAGTATCACTAAAATAAATCTCATGGATATCTCCAAAAAAATCAAACAAATCCCATTAGCACTCCAATGTCATCTTCAGAGATGTCTCATAGGGTATTTTATGACATCATTATTTATCCGGTAAAATACCTAATGTAGCAATAGAAGAATGGCTTTTAAAGAGAAGAGTTAGAAAAATGAATGATTCTTTTCATTTACCATGCAAGGTAGAGATTAAGATGTCACAGAAACTGATGACAGCAAGTGTAAGACTGCATTTAATAAACAACACTGAAATCGCCAAATACTTAAACTCCATCCGTGTTTTCTCCATGTACACAATTCAAGGTCATTTCTTTACCATTGACATGTATTTCTCCAATCATGCAATAAAACTGAGAATTCTGAAAGTGTCATGTTTTAAAATTAAAAATATTACCTTCTCCTCTACCTTTGCATCTTCTATGGTTTGCGATTCTTGTAGTTGTTTCAAAGATTCACTAAAGAATAAATTAGAACTTTCCTGAAGAGCTTTCACTTGTCTTTCCAATTCATTTCTTTCTTCATCTGTCATTCTAAAATAACCAGAAAGTATGAAAAGAGGGAATACAAGTCTTCAAGTGTAACAATGACATATTAGGCTCAATGATTTTGCAATGTAGACTACTCTTCTAAATAAGTTCACCATCCTACAATAAAATAAAACCTCACAGACAGATTGCTCAGGTCTTAGAATGGCTGTATATGGAAATGAAGGATGGTATTGAACACATTTAGGAACCCTTCTCTTGCATAAAAAAGGGACTCAAGGATAGGGTGTAAACTAACATAGTAGCTCCTCTATAGCATATACAAGTTTCTAAAATAACAACAGGGAAAGATCTCATTGTTAGTCCCAACATGCAAAAGGGACAGTAAGGTGCCATTACGCAAGATGAAACTTGTTTAAGCTGAAGGATGAATAGAGAGGAAATTTATTAGGAAATTAACCTAACTCTCTAAGATACAATACAAAAACATTATGAAATAATCCTAAAGAGGACAGCCAAAAAGGGTTTAATTAAAGAGTAGATTCAAATCCTTAAATCTACAGGGACAATTTCTAAAATTCAAGATGAGGAGGAGTCTTGAGAACCACAGAGAAGATTCCAGCTCGCAGTTCTGTTTACATCCTGAAAGCATCACTTACTGGGTTTTAAAAATGCCCTTGTGTCTTCAAATATGCAGTCTTCACCCACAGTAAACATATTTATCATGAGATACTTAAAAAAGAAAGAAAAAAGAAAAGGGTGGATTCCTTCCCTGCCTGAGGCATTAGCTAAAATATATAAAGTGCCTTACTGCAAAAAGTAGGACCAAAATATGAGAAGTCAGGTTGCCACAGGTCTCAGATAAGAAAATGAAGATATTTATACACATTTTCCAAAAGGCAAGTCTCAGAGTACTACTTTGTATTAAGACTCGGCTTGAAGTCTTCACAACCCACTAGGTATTGACCCTTAACCTCTCTGAGCCTGTTTCTTATCAGTAATATATGGGGATAATAAGTACATTTCAGGCTTCTGTTAAGACTAAAAGTGACAATTGCTAAATTTATAATCTTTCATAATTACATTACTAGGTAAATTTGTGATTAAGTTCCATTTTAAAAACCTCAACTAAAATTTACCATCTTCTATTTTGCCGTAAGTTTTTAAGACCACTTTCTTATATTAAATAAAAGATCTAATGATAATCAACATACTTGTCTCCATGTTTAGCTAAAAAGAGCTGCATGGTTTGAAGTGCCTCAGACAATTGTTCCTTCTTGGTTAATATTTCTTCACTGGAAATCTGCAAGGTAAGGAAAACACATTCACACTCTCTCCTCGTAAACACCAAACAACAGTAACTTCCAAAAACTAAGTTTTTATCAAGACCCACATGATCACTATTTTCTAGGTGACCCAAGTCAAACCCATTACTTATGATCAGTCTATAGGCCTGAATAAGAA